TTGCCTGGAGATCTTTTTAAAATACAGATCCTGATTCAGTATATCTGGGAGGGAAATATTAACTCTCAGCAAGGGGTTTAACCTGAATGAACTGGTTTAAAACCCTGTCTGGGAAGCACATGGACCACTTTTAAAAGAGAGGCATCTTCTTTGAACAGCATCTTCAAACTGAGTTTCAGGGGGCAGATGCTACCTTTAAAAACGGTTTTTAAAAGAATCTAGTGAAGGGGGAGGAGTGAGCTAAACATTGAGAGAGAACATTCTAGGAGCCAGGCACTGCCTGGGTGTGACATGTTCTCACAGTAGAGCTTTTATTCAGTCTTAACATTAGTGGGAAGTTCAACCATATTAATAACTTTTCAACAAGTCATGGGAGAGGCAAAATTCAAAATGAGTTCTATCAGACTTCATTGTCTATTTTTGTTGAGTTTGTTGTTATATGTTGTATTTGCCTTTTACACTTATTTTATCTTTGTTCTGTGAATTTCTTTTAAGACTTTAACCTCAGTATAGGTCCTCTTGAATGACTTACTGAATTTGAAGAATACAGTTAAATGGAGTCTTTCCTAATTTATCATGTTGATTTAGAATGAAATCCAATATAATGAATCTTTCATTGAGGTCAATCATCAGTATAGAAAAGAGTATATGCGGGTTAGTTTATTTGCACAAGACAAATGAATATTCAGTATTTGGCAGAGGGCACTTTAGCCTCCATTATTTGACAATTTCAATAGCATTATTTGATGACATTGAGTTTTTCAAGTACATCACTCGCTTAGATTTGAATTCCCTGGCTCTAGCTATTCTGTGATGCTCTTGAAATGTTCTTTTTGACAATGAATACAATGCCATTCCTTTTCAGTTTGCCATTCCCAGAATAGCCTCAGTTCAACTTACTGCCATCTACTTGATTTCAACTCAGTGACCCTACAGGACAGAGTAGAACTGCCCCTGGGTTTCTGGGACGTCTATGTCTTTTAGGAGTAGACAGCCCATGGGGCAGCTGATGGATTTGAACTGTTGACCTTGCAGTTAGCACCCAAAGTATAACCCATGACAGGCCTGGGATTTCCTAAGGACCATGTGATTATGAAATTCAAAATGGCCAATACCAGTCTATTCCACTCACTGATGCCTAGGATATTGATCTTCAAGTGTTTTCATTTCATTTTTGATGGCTTCCAGTACCTTCCACTTTACCATCTTTAAAGGATGTTTGCAGTTGTTTGCAGATGTTGAGTTGTGTCATATTGGCAAATGAAGGGTCCAAAAACTTTACCTCAACCCTTTCACTGAAGTCAGCTCCTCCCCAGTGGTCTTTTACATCTCCTCCAAGCTAAGGGATTCATCTTCCGGTACTTTATCAAATACTGTTATGCTGCTGTTAGCAGAAATTTTACCGGCTCCCCCCCCCCCTTTCTTTTCAGAAGTAGATTGCCAGATTCACCTTCCCATCTGTCTTCATCTGCAAGACTATTTCAGATCCATCCGATAGCATTTCAACTCTTTCAGTGATAGAACCATGTTTGCGCGTCTTCAGGGAAGACGAGTTAGTACAATTATTATTCATATTTACAAACCAACCACTAATGCCAAAAATAGATTGAAGTTTTTAACACTAATTTCTGCAGTCAGATTAAATATGCAATCAAAATGCATTAATAAGTATGAGTGATTGGAACGTGAAAGTTGAGAAGGAAACAGGATTCAAAACACTCACTCACTGCCATTGAGTCTGTTCTGCTTCAGAGCGACCCTAGGAGTTTCCAAGACCGTAACTCTGTGCAGGGTTAGCTGACCTTGTCTCTCTCCCTCAGGAGGCTCGTGGGTTTGACTGCCAACCGTTCAAGTTGCAGCCCAATGTGTAACCACTACATCAGCAGGACTCCTACAAGAAGGATTAGTAGTTGGAAAATATAACCACAGTGATAATCCAGTTTGCTGGAGATCACGTGATAGAATTTTGCAAGACCACTAACTCTTTCAGTGTAACTACCATTTTTTAACAGCATAAACAGCAATTATATGAAAACCTAGTGGCACTGTTAGGATAAGCATTGGACTGCTAATCGCAAGGTTGCTGGTTCAAACCCATCAGCTGCTCCATGTGAAAAAGATGAGGCTGTCATCTTTCTTTTTTGTGTGTGTGTGTGTGAAGTTTTTTGTGAAGATTTGTAGCCACGGGACTGAATGATATATTTTCTTCTGGATACTGGCAATTACTTCTCCTGACTCGTTAATAACAGCTGCCTGATTTAGAGTTTCCCATGGATTTCTTTTACTATTTAGAAACTATGTTACCACAAAATATTAGACCTCCAATATGGATTTAATTACCATTCAAGGAATTCACCCTGAAGTGATTAATAAGCCATGAAAACAATATTCCCCCCTTTCTCTGCTTACATAGCATCGATATTTTTGAAAATTGAGTTGCCTCTGCCAAGTTTGTTTGTAGATGGAACGAGAATTATTAAACAGTCTCAGTTCACAAGAAATTTTTGTACTTTTATTGAGAGCGCACCAGATACCTATTTCCATGTAGAGTTTCCATTTAGAGTTTTCAGAAACTTCATGTACTCTTGAGGCGACAGGCACATGAGTCAAGTAATTGCTTTAGATATTTACCAGAAGTACTTTTTAAAAAGACTGCAAGAACATGTATTTGTTTGTGTTTTTCCTCCCTCTTTTTTTCTTTGATATGACTTTTAGTACATTGATTTTTATCAAAGGAATACTTTAATATGTTGCTTTTAATTGTTGTATAAAAAGTATTCCAAATGTCCATCAATAGTAAAATGATTGAATATATTCGTATATTCATTTTTTAAAATTATAATTATTTATAAATGCAAATGATCCAAGGAATATAGAGGGGAAAACAAAGGTATATGCAACTTAAAAATATTTTAAGAGCTATATTTACTGATATGCTTGTACAAGGGGGCTTCAAAAAATGACAGGAAAAATTCCATTCCTTTTTACTTCTATTTTTTTCTGTAAACTTTTTGAAGCCACTTTATTATAAGAGATATAGAATGATATAATTCCTACACATGAACGTTCTTTAAGAGGAAATATTATTAGCAAAACAGAATCCAGAAGTAGGCTCATGCATTTATGATAATTTAGCACAGGATAAGGTGGCCTTTCAAAGCAAATAGAGAAAGTTTGGGATATTTAGTAAATGGTATATGTGGTCCAGTTGGATAGTTATTTGCTAAAGAAAGACTATGTCAGATCCCTACATTACTCCTTTTATCAGAAGGGAGTCTAGATTGACAAAATATTTAATTTTAAAAATTTAAACATACTAATGTCAGGGGGACATCTGAATATTTGTTTGTTTGTTTGTTTGTTTGTTTGTTTGTGTGTTTAAATTTAGGAGTAGGGTAGACCTAAGAATGAATGAAAATACAGAAACAAATGAGATAGATAGGTCATTATGTTTAACCCTAGAACACCTGAGTTTTTAATTTCAGGGGAAAATTTTTGATGCTATTCCTTACTTTCATAGTTATCAATATATATATTAATATATACATTTAATTAAATGTTATGAAAACATTACGCTTGGCATTATAGGGTTAAGGAATATTGTTTCAAAGACTTGGGGATTAGATGATTCTTGAAAATAGATGTTCACAGACCTCAATTTTAGCAACATGGTATTAGAATGTTAATTCTCTCAGTTTGCAGGCAGTGGAACAGTGCACACAAACATTACTCGGTGATTTCAGCAACCATGCTTGTGCTTGCAGTTGCACCAGTATTCACGCCTCATTGAAATTGGTGGCATTTAATTGTACTATTTGAATTTTGATATGGATGTGTATAAAGCATGATTTATATATTAATAATGCTTTGAATGAATGGATGAGAAACAAGTCAGAAGAAAAGTTGTGAAATAATATACAAGAAACCGATATTTTTGGTACCTCTGTGCTGTGGGCTGGGAGTGATAGGAGGCAAGCCTCTTTTTAGTTTATAACCTTCTAGACTGTTTGCAATTTTATAATGTGAAAATGCGTTTTTATTGTCAGAAAGAACACACTTAAAAAAAATAATTAAAAGTGCTTTAGAATTTGGGGCTTCTAAAAGATTTTGTCATGGGAAAATACCAATTCTAATTCATCATAACGGTATACAGTATAGGGTTTCCAAGACTAAGTTGTGGAGAGAAGACAGCTTTAACTTTCTCCTGAGGAGCTACTGGTGGGTTTCAACCACCAATTAGCAGCCCCAAACCTGACCCACAGAATCACCAGGGTTCCCTCGTCACCCACTGGGAGGAGAGAGAGAATTTCAGAGAGTAAATTATTCTACCAGATTGTTATGCATATGCAGTGGAGAGACACAGAGGTGTTTGTGAGTCTTTGTGTCACAGAGAGTCCCAGAGGGTGCTCACGCCCCCAAGTAACTTCTAATGTTTCCTTGCAATGAGTCTTTGCAGGATACACAGTTGACTTAAAAATAATGTCAAAGAACAAAAACAAAATGTGTTGGTCTTCTTGAGAAATTGTTGTATTTTAAATCCCAAACATTGATTCTTACATTAATTTCAATAATATTATGAGCATAGAGCTAGCGGAGTGTAGAATGCAACACTAATGTAAGCTATTATGGTAGAAGAGGACTGTCTCCCACTTTATATATGAGAACTACCTCAGTCAGCACTTGCACCTTTTGGCAGAATTTTTCATGCTTTTCTGGTGGAAAACTTGAGAAATACTTCCCTGAGAAAATATGAGCAGATGAAGATAACTTGTAATCGCCCTAAAACTTTATTTTGGTTTTAAATTCTGAAGTTACAAAGTGGAAAGAAGTAGATTTCATAAAAGGAAGATTTTATTAGCTTCACTTATCCCTTTAAAATGAATGTTTGAGTATGTACTTAAGATTCTCACGGAATCCAGTAAATGTCTGAAGGGAGCTAAATAAACGGATTTTAATCACGTTTCCTCCGATTTCTTTCTTTTCCTCATTTCTCACCACAGGTCACAGTAATGAAAGGCAGTACTAGGAGTAAAGAGCGTTCAGCAGAAGGGGAAGAGTCTGGAAAGCGACCCAAGCGCAAGTGTCTTCAGTGGCATCCATTGCTAGCAAAGAAGCTTCTTGATTTTTCAGAGGAGGAGGAAGACGAAGACGAAGAGGAGGATATTGATAAGGTACGTCCCCTATTTATGACAGAATGTGAGAGTCTCTTTGTATGTTCACAACTGTACTAGACGCTGAACCTGCATGGTCGGAAATGTATGGTTTTAAATGACAGTACAATTTAAATCCTCTATACTACCTAGCAAACATTTAATTCTAATTATTGGCCATTCTTATATGAACCTCCCAATCAAGTAAAGTAGAAGTTTCTTAAAGCAACTAGAAAAAGGGCAACAGCATACATCCTCCAACAACTGAAGAAAAGAAATCATAAAAATTCTAGCAAAAATAAATAAACTGGAAAACAGTAAAACAATGAAAAAAATCAGCAAGACAAGAAGTTGATTCTTTGAAAGGATCAACAAAATTGACAAACTGCTGGCAAACTTTAGAAAGGAAAGGGAAGGTACAAATATCTAGAATTAGATATGAAAAAGGCAGCATCACAACAGATTCAGATGAAATACAAAGAATAATCACACATGTCTACGAAAAGCTGTACTCTAACAAGTTGGCTAACCTAAAAGAAATGGATAAATAGCTAAAAGTGCGTCATCTACCCAAATTAACGCAGATGGAAATAGAAAACCCGAACCAGAGCCATAACAAAAGAAACAAAGAAGGTCATCAAGAAATTCCCAACCAAGAAGAGGCCAGGACCAAATGGTTTCAAAGGGGAATTTTACCTGGAAGGTGGAGGGAATGTGTGGTAGAAAGGGGGAACCGATTACAAGAATCTACATATAGCCTCCTCCCTGGGCGATGAACAGCATAGAAGTGGGCAGGGGGAGATGTCCAACAGTGTAAGATATGACAAAATAATAATAATTTATGAATTATTAAGGGTTCATGAGGGAGTGGGGAGGGGGGCAAAGGGGAAAAATGAGGGGCTGATATTAAGGGCTCAAGTAGAAGGCAAATGTTTTGAGAATGATGATGGCAACAAATGTACAAATGTGCTCGACACAATGAATGTATGTATGGCTTGTGATAAGGATTGTATGAGCCCCCAATAAAATGATTTTAAAAATAAATAAATAAAGAACATTATAATAATCATTAAAATAAATTCTGGCCAATAGAATCACAAAACATATAAAAAAATTGCACCAAGACCAAGTGGGATTCCTAGCAGGTATGCAAAGATGGTTCAACACTCAAAAAGCAATATAATATACCACATAAGACAAAGAATAAGAATCACATGATCATATCAATGGATGCAGAAATGGCATTTGACAATATTTAACACCATTTCTAATAAAAACACTCAATAAAATAGGAATAGAAGGTAAACTCCTCAACATAATAAAGGCCATATTAAAAAATAAATAAAAGACCAACATCACACTTAACTGTCAAACCCTGAAAACATTTCAACTGAGAAGAGAAACTAGGACTGGCTGCCCTTGGTCACCATTCTTATCCAACATTGGCTAGAAATCTTAGCCAGAACCATTAGACAACAGAAAGAAATACAAGGGAATACAATTGAGCAAAGAAGTGAAATTCTCACTATTTGCCGATGGCATGATTTTATACTGAACCCTAAAAACATCACAAAAATATTGTTGGAAATAATCGAGGAATTTTGCAAAGTAGCAAGACATAGCATTAAAAAACAGAAAGCAGTCGGATTCCTGTATAACCAATGAAAAGAACTCCAGTAAGACATCAAGAAAATAATACCATTTACAATAGCCACAGAAGAGGTGAAATAGTTAGGAATAAACCTAATCAAAGAAACAAAAGAGTTGTACAAAGAAAACTACAGACTCATATTAAAAGAAACCAAAAGAGACCCATACAAATAGAAGAATATTCCATATTCACGGATGAAGAAAATATAGTGAAAATATCAATATTACCTAAAGCAATCTGTACATACAATATAATTCCAATCGAAATCCCTACTTCAAACTTTAAGGAAATGGAACATGAATTCCCAACTGAGCCCAGGATAAACCAGAACTCTTCCAAAAGAAGAACAAAGTAGGAGCCCTTGCATGACTGGACCTCAAGAATTTTTTTATTAATCATTTTTTTGGGGGCTCGTACAACTCTTATCACAATCCATCTATCCATCCCTTTAGTCAAGCACATTTGTACATTTGTTGCCATCATCATTCCCAAAACATTTGCTTTCTTTTTTTTTTTTTTTAACTTTTGCTTCCACTTAAGCCCTTGATATCAGCTCCTCATTTCTTCCCCTCCTCCCCTACCCGCTCCCCCCTCCCTCATGAACCCTTGATAATTTATAAATTATTATTATTTTGTCATATCTTACACTCTCTGACATGTCCCCTTGCCCACTTCTCTGTTGTCCATCCCCCAGGAAGGAGGTTATACACAGATTCTTGTAATAGGTTCCCCCTTTCCACCCCACCTTCCCTCCACCTTCCAGGTATTGCCACGCTCACACTAGCCCTGAAGGGGTCATCCGTCCTGGATTCTCTGTTTCCAGTTCCTATCTGGACCAACAGAGGGATTCCAATATTCTTCAGACTCACATTACATTTGTCTTGTCCACTTATCTTTTCAGTCTTCACCATATTCAATTCCTCTTATTAAGAAAAAGTCTAATGCGTTCTAGGAAGGATTCTGCCTCCCAAGCGTCCTCTTCCAAACTTCACATCCAATTCAGTACCACTCACTTTAGGTTCTGCCTCATAAATAAATGTCTTTCTTCCTACTTCTCCCTTCCCACGAGCCTTACCTTGATTCAGCCCTGTTCATTCCTTTTCTGGACAACTAGAATCACTTTATACCTGGTTTCGCCAGTTTATCTAATTGGTTCTTTATTCATGAATTTACTTATTCACCTCTGGTGAATTAATACCGTATACACTTGAGTATAAGCCGACCTGAATATCAGCCGAGGCACCTAATTTTACCACAAAAACTAGATTAAAAATGTGCTGAAAAACTTGACTTATACAAGAGTATATACAGTAATCATAATATTAGATGGCAGGTTCTTTATTAAAACTTATTAATGTCAGTGCTTAGCAGAATAAAAAGTCAATCATCTATATAATCCTCCCAACATTTTTAATTGGTTCATTAAATTTGAGACCATTGCTCTACAAGGGTAAGTACATTAGTTTTGAGAAAGCACATGCTTCATGAGATGGTTCTTAACCTTCTTCTACAAAGTCATTTCCCACATTCCATCTTCACATTTCATGTACTATTGGACTAGATGTGATTGTTCAAATAAAACACTGAGCCTTAATCCCTACAAATTCCCAACTCTATTGACTATTGGCTTGTTCTGATCTATCTTTCAAAATTAAACTCGGGCAGTAACCCCTTCTGTAGAGAGACTTCCTGTTTCTCTTTCCTCCCCTCATCATTTTTTTCACTAGTTCCTTGTGGCAATTATGATACTGCAGTTTAGTTTGTTTATTAGCATACCCTTCTCCTTTTCTGAAACAGCAACTCCTTCAGTCATAATCTTATTTATCTCTTGATCCCACCCCTTAACTCAACTTTTACAAATCAGTAACTGAATGCCATGAATGACTCTTTTTAAAAGGAAAAATGTCACTAATTCTGCAAACTGCATCTATTTCTGATACTTCCTTTTCCACTTCTGAGTCAGTTTCAGAAAGCTAATGTAGTATCTCTTGAAAATGCAAATCATTAATGATTGTATACATGATGCAGAAAATAAATACATAGTCTTCACTTCCAGTAATCTTTAATATATTTCCAAACCAGATAGCTAAGAATTCAAGACTTTTCTGTACTGCTTGCTTGTGAAAATAATTGATGGTTAATTAAGTACATTCATAATACTTATTTAAACCTAAAAGGCTTTTTAACATGCAATATTGGATTAAGTTAGTGATTTGCTCCAGAGTATGTGTTAAACCAGTTGTTCCAATAAACATTGTATAAAAGAACATAGTTGCTCTCTAAAAGTGATTTTCAAAATTGATTTTCAAAGCAGCATTCACATCACCTTATAAAAAAATCACAAATTTCTTAAAATTGCAGGTTCTCCAGGCCCAGTCAGATCTATTGGATCAGAAACTCTGGGATGGGGCACAGTAAGCTGTGTTTTAAGAAGCCTGTCAGTTTTCATTCTAGTATGTGAATCACTGCCTTACTCTATGCTGTAAACTAACAACTGCCTCCAGCCTTCTCTTGATTTGGTCTATGAAACTAGACATTAAAGAACTAATTTCAGTAAGCATTCTGGATTTCTGATCATGGTTTGCATTGTTCCCAAGAAGCATCATAAAAATCACATAGAAAATGTTTAACAGTCTAAAATGTTCTGAGATTCTATGGTCTGAGATTTACTTAGGACTTTATGCTGACTGCCACATACAGGAAGCGTTGTAGAGAAGTTTAAAAGCAGGAAGGCTGTGCCAGGCTGGTACTCAGGCAGTGGCAGTGAGAACTAGGCAGATGAGATGCACAGAGCATGACTTTGAGGAGTCCACAGACTCTGACAACTGATTGAATGAGTGTTTAGGAAAAGGGAAATTTCAAAGCGAATTTTGAACAGCCTGAGCTTAGTGACTTTATTCTGATCACCTAGCAATTCCCTAGACAAGGCAGTTTAATAGTTATAAGCTTCAAAATTTTAGAATACTGTATAATTTTTCTTTCAAAAATTATTTTAACTATATGTTTTTAATTTTACAGTAGGAGCTCCACTTTTGGTGTGTACATAAACAGAAGTTTAGATTAGTTTTTTCATAGTCTATTTTCATATGATTACTATAGAAAAATACTTCTGAATAGGAGGCATGAAGAACTAATAGATTTTTTATCAGTTGTTAATTTTGAAAGTCCATGTCCTACAGACTGGGTTTATTTGTTCATACCTCAATTAGTCTTAATGCTATGCCAGACACTGCGATTAGGCACTATGGGGGGAGAGTAAATAAGAGAACTTTTATCCTCAAAAGAGTTCATTGTTTAAGAAGAAATTTTAAAACTGTAAACCATTATAAGACAATGAAATATATGCTGTAATAAAATATGCATATATTGCTATAGAAACTAAGCAGAAGGATAAATCATGAGTTACTAATCATCCTTAGTGGTTGAAAAAAAATTATATATATTGGTAAGCTTGTTAAACTTGAGCTGAGGGCAGGGGAAACAATTTATAAGCCAAGAATATTATTAAAGTACAAACTAAATTTCCAAGACACGTAAAGCATGTGACTCTTGTTTTGGTTGGTAATAGGTTCAACTTCTCGGGGCCGATGGCCTAGAACAAGATGTTGGTGAGGCTGAAGACGCTGAATCACCAGAACAGCGAGCCCGGAGACCAATGAATGCATTCCTCTTGTTCTGCAAGCGCCACCGCTCCCTCGTACGGCAGGAACACCCCAGGCTCGATAACCGAGGTGCTACGAAGATACTAGCTGATTGGTGGGCTGTTCTTGATCCAAAGGAAAAGCAGAAATACACAGACATGGCCAAGGAGGTAGGTTTCAGTGACTAGCTATTATGGTGGCTATGAGAAACGAACCCCCTAATCTCCAGTCAGTATACATCGAGCACCTGATGAATGTCTAGCAATATGTAAATGAGCCCCAAATCGGATGTCAGGTGAAAACGTAAGACCCTTCTCTGTTTCTATTCCTGCGTTTCACGTCCACGGTGCATTTGCTGGTGGGGACGCCAGGAGCAGCGTGATCAGGACATTTTTGTTTCTCATTTGGATAGTACTCTCTGAGTGATAGATGTAAGGGATTAGATGACTATGAGTATTAATTACCATCTCCACCCATTGCCATAGCCCTCAGGAAATTGTTGGTGAATTATTTTCAGTGTCTCCAGGGATCCTGGTTCTGCTGTCAAAGAACGCCATCACAAAGATGTCTTAGGTGACTGGACTTGTATCATTGGAAGGAGTTTTGATCTAGTTCTGGTGTCCGGGCACACCACAAGTCAACTCCTCTGGAACGCTTGTGTTTTCCCTCCTTATTTTTCTGTTTTGTAGAATGAGGACGTTGGCCAGATGTTTGTATCCTTTCCAGCTCTCGCTCATGTTTTTCCTTGCTTTTGTAGTACACACAGCTATCAAGCGATAGATTGCTTTGCTTTGCTTTGACTGTGCGTATTGCAGGGTGAGGATTTAGAACCAGTGAGTGAGTGGCAGTGGAACAGTAGTGTGGTGATGTGTGTGTGCGTGTGAACGTTGCATGGGAAGGCTGGTTGAGGCGCATTGTGTGCAGGAAGGGTATTCATGTGCATTAACTTGAAAATGGCAAACTGATTTTATCTCTAAATTACTAAGAACTTAATGAGAGATCATTGTATAGTTAGATGTATCTTGTAGTAGATGTAATGCTGAGTAAGGGAAACATGAAGGAATGTCATTGAAGTTAAACTCGAAAGGACGAGAGGACTAACAACGTTATTTCTTCAGTATTACAACCCAATTTGTAAAATCTCTGTCATCATCCAAACATTTGGGGTAAGGTTGTGAAGAAATGAACCAGCAGGGCACAAAAATACTGAGTTTTAAATGCTACATTTTACTAGAACATCTCAGTATGTGGATAAAATAGTGCTTTCAGTTGCAGTGGTTTAATTGAGTTGTTTAATAAAGTAACATGGAGCATAAACATTTCTTTTTAAACATTCAGGAAAATTTGAACACAAAATAAGTGATTAGTCTAGGTTCCAATGTAGTTCACTAACGATGGCACGAGCCACGCTCTAAGCTTACTGCCAGCTAGTCAGTTCCTCTTCATAGCAACTCTGTAGAACAGGGAAACTGCCCCTGTGAGTTTCAGAGACTGAGACTGTACAGGAGGAGGAGAAAGCAGCCTTATCTTTCTTAAACCCGACACTGGTGGTTTCACACTGCTGACCTTGCAGTTAGTAGCCCGACACAACCCACCCCACCACCAAAATGCACGTAAAACCAAACTCACTGCCATCGAGTCAATTCTGACTCATCGTGACCCTATAGGGCAGGGTAGCACTGCCCGACATGTTTCCGAGATGATGACTCTTCACGGGAGTAGAAAGCCTCATTTTTCTCCAGAGGAGCATCTGGTGGCTTCAAAGTACTGACCCTGCAGTTAGTGGTCCAACCCTTAACTACTACTACTCAATGATGACATAAGGTTACAGGAATTGACTGTTGTTAAGGACCTGGTTTTAACTCTTTAAAGCATCCAGAAAATTCAAAATCAATTACAGTAACCTACATGATTTTAAATGTTTCGATAGATTTCCACTAGCATAACAGTAATTAACAGTAAAATTTTCCATTAAGCACCCCCATATTCCTTCCTAGTACTGCTTACATAGTAAAATAAACAATTATCTCAAACCTCATAGCAAGCTGCATTAGCTTCCTATAATTAAACACTTGAGTTTGTTTTTGGATAACATGCAGCCTGCCACTAGTATATTGTTTGCCTTTTCTTAAATGCTGCTAATTTACAAACCCAATAGGTGGCCACTTTTAAGAGGAAGAATTATTTTCATACAGGAAATCCCTTACTAATTACTTAATCAGGTTCACAATATTTGCCCTAGTGGTGCTGTAATACAATCTGCTAAGGTGGCCCCCTGCACACTGCTAGGAGTGGAAACCATAATTGGATGTTCCACCTCATCACGTCCTTTGTATATATGAAATGTTGCCTCATTTCTACTACAAGGTGTAGAAGGTTCAGCTATTTTAACATTTATTATATAATTGCTCTCTAGTTATAAATGATACTTAGTGTTCCCCTTTTATTTACTAGATGGTTCTGAAATTACATTAAGGTGCAAGTAATTATGCTGGTGAATTTTTGTGTGTTAATGTTGTGGCCTTACTTGGGATCCCCGTTCAATCAAGAAATCTATTAAGTGGCATCAGTGTGTTAGGTTTGGGGGCAGGTACTAGTGATACAAGAGCAGTGATAATACAGTCTCTGTACCTCCAGGCAATTCTTTTAAAACTCTTTTTACTGTTTAACCTAGTAATTGTTCAATTCCAACATATAAACATTCTTTATTAGATACAAACTGTGTTCTCTCAGCATAGCATGTATGTGTGCATGTGAGTGTTTACATTATTGTTTACCAATAGGAGTCCTGGTGGCATGGTGGTTATACACTGAGTTGCTAACCATAAAGTCAGCAGTTCAAAACCAGGGGAGAAGGATGGGTCTTTCTACTCCCATAAAGAGTTACCGTCTCAGACACTCACAGGGCAGTTCCACCCTGTCGCTGAGTCCGCATCAACTTGATGGAGTGAGTTTGGTTTCTGTAGTGTTAACCTGCCATTATCATTGGAGTGAACAATATATTTTTTTTGTTTGCCTTTTGATTTTACATAAACCTAACTAAAGAATTTTACGTGAAACTAAGTAAAGGCTTTTAGAAATAGTATTTGTGAGATTTCAAGTAGTAACACAGCTCTAGAGTGTGACCTTTTTACCTGTTAGCTCATGAAAATTTCCTCTGCCCCGCCCCATGGCCCCTGGTTATCCTTTATTAGTTCATCTGCTTAGAAGAACAACACTCGTTCTGGGATTTGTTTTCAGTTTCTTGAGTTTTTGCCCAGTACTAATTTTCATTGTTTGGGGAAAAAAAAGGTTGAATCAGGGTTTTGTGTTGTCTGATGAAAAATTGAGATTTGAATCCTGTGAGAGCAGTAATTGGGGGTAATTTAAAAATACTGCCCTAAGGATACAGCCTGGCTTGTTGCCTTCAGTTTAGCATGGCAGGACTATGCAGTTGAATGTGTGTGGTTGCCGGTCAGGAGGCACAGAAACAAGTCTGCCTGGGCCTTTTAACATCTTTGTGCATGTACTCTTGTAAATATAAGAATGTGAAGTTCCTATATTCCTGCCTAGGCTTTAGCTGGAATTTCCCACTTGTCATTTAAACTAATGATCATAATTAATTGACCGTCGTGTAAAGGCTCATGCAGTTTTACCACTGCTGGAACAGTCAGTTAAGAGAGGTAGGACGATCTGGGAAGTTTGAACAGTTTCAGATGATCGCTGTAACATGGGTTTTTGGCTAGGGGTGAGGGGCAGTTAGTGGATGGTGAATGGCAATCGGCAGGAAAGCATTCTTTCACTCCTTGGTTGGATCGTTTGAGCTCTGTGTTTTATATAAGCACAAACAGGTAAGGCCAATTATTCTTATCTCCTTTACCAAAGCGAGAATCTGAGGCTCCGGAGAAGTATCTTAAAGTTACAGATTTCGTGAACTGTAGAAACTGTAGAAGTGGCATGCCCTTGCTTTTTTAACACCAGTACTCTTTTATCATCTGTCAGAACGAAATCAAACACCAGTGCTATCCTTGGGTCCTGCACATGATTAAGCAGTTAACTGAAAGGCCGACGGTGTGGATTTTTGCAGGTGCCTGGGCAGAAGCTGTGGCGATCTCCCCCTGAAATATCGCAGCCATTGAAAACACTGTGTGGAGTGTCATTCTACTCTGATGCCGTCGGGGTTGCCTTGAGTTAGAATAGCACTTGGTTTGTTTCATCTTACCCTGGTAGAGCCGTAGTGAGAGAGAAACCCTCAATGACAGAGACTGACAGCAACTAGGTTCAACTAGCTGTGGGTTCAAACAGACCTGTGATGTTGAGGATGGCACGGGACCAGACAACATTTTGTTCTGATACCCGAGGTGGCTGCACATCAGAGCTGATTCAGCCAACAACAGCGAAGTTACTTATTTCAGATGACTAGAAAATAAGTGGGTTCAAGCACGTCTGGCAGGAATGTTAGCGATAAAATGTGATATGTCTTAGAGGAAGAACCTGCTTGTGCTGCGGTGGGAGGTGGTGTGTTCCTGAGTCATTTTCGGCAGTACTGCTCATAGAGTTTCCAAGGCTGTAATTTTTACGGAGGCGGACTGCCACGGTCTACCCTCCCAGAGCTGGGGAGGGGCTTTAAATGCTGAGCTTTCGGGTTAAGAATTGTGCCATCGTGGCTTCTTAGGGACGGGATTAGGTTGGGTGACCATAAGGCAGGAAGGAGTTCATGATGTAAGTAGAAATGGACCTGGGTTTCGGTATAGAATTCAGACAGCAAGGTAAAAAACAAAGAGAAGGATTTCAGGAACCGGAAAGTTAGAGAGCATATCAGGAGATTAAGATATAAAAATTAGTAAGACAAAAATCACGGGAGACAGGAGCTTGAAGGTTTGACAGGAGCTGCCAAAAAACGAGAGGAGCTGTACCATCAAATTCTACAATAAGATGCAATTTGAAGGCATTTTAAACCATATTTTGTTTTGTTTAAATACCAAAGTATTTTAAACCATATAATCTTGGCAAGTGTAAGTTATTGATTTGTTGTCAATGCTCTAAGAAAGATCTTTATTGCCTCCAAGCCCCATGTTGGTTTTAGTGATTAGATTCCTCCTCATTTCTTTTTATTTTTAATCATTTTATTGGGGGCTCATATAACTCTTATCGTAATCCATACATACATCAATTATATAAAGTACATTTA